ATGAGGCCAGAGGGGATACATCAATGAGGCAGACAGGGAGGTGGCTAGGAGGAAGGACACTATTTATTCCACTTAACCATAAGATAGAAGGATCAAGAAATTGTTGATTGTGTCTGGGAGGAAGTGAGGTCACTTAATGAGAGGTTATGTGGTGACATCAAGAAAGGCATTAACGGACAGAGTTTCACATGGCGAATGGTGGGAAGGAATGTGGATAGGGAAATAGAGAATGCTTATCAGAAATAACTGAAAACTCTGATGTCACTGGAATGAATGGTGTTCCATATCCCTATGGGCCTTGTATTCTCCATCAGTACCTGAAAATCTGCTTGTAGGAAAAGGAAAGCCCACAGCTCACCCAGGGTTAAGGATTTGCCTTCAGTTCTGAAGAAAGAGCAAAACACCTGCTAGTTTTCACAAGGCCCTGTTTGAGGTCACAGGTGGAGATTTCTAAGCTTGGTGGAGATGAAAACGTAGACTGCACGTGGTGCTAGATAAGAAAGAAATCTAGGAGTCCAGGAATCGGGATTCTCTTAGCTGACATTTATTTGGAGCAATTTCTAGAGGGGGAGCACCAGGATGAGTAAAGCCCAGTAAAGTCGGTGTGACCAGAATGCAAAGCATTTAGGCCTTCTGCACTTCAGGTCTCCTGCCCACAGCTCTTGCCTGGGATTCCCTGGTGACCACACTGGCTGCAGGGGAGCGTCCAAGGAGTGGAGAGGAGAGCACCCTGGAAGACGGTGAACAGCACCTGCCTTCAAGTCTCTGTGGCTTATCTTTATTTATTTATTTTTACTAGCACTCTACTCAACTCCCAGAGCCTAATTTTTTCCACTCCTTTTCTGTTACAGTAAATGAGCACCGAGGGTTTGCAGATATGCCTGGCTGACATTCCTTCACACATATCCTCATTCTGGTTTATCTCTCCTAATCCTGCCAGAGGAACATTCCTAAAATTCCTCTCAGTATATCACTCCCTCCTTTAAAATCCCTCAATGACCTCTTATGTTTGCATCTCAAGACACATTTCGAAGTGTGGTCAGCTTGGAAACCTTCATGACATTTTCCTTTTTTCTTCTCCTAAAATGCCATATCCATGATGCTTAGGTACAAATCTTTCCTGTCCACCAAATTCCTTCATCACGTAAGCCCTCCCTCTAGGGAACAAGCATCTCTTTGTAAATATAGTTAAATTCCCAAAGTTTCTCACTTAGAAGGCACTCAGTACACAGGAGCCAGGGAGGGTGTACTGGAGCATGCCTGTCTGTCTCCACTCCAGTTACTCAGAGTTCCAGAACACCCTCCCATGAGCCACAGCTCCCTGAAGGGCATTCCTCCTGTAGAGGTCAACTTGCAAAATGCCTTGGGAGGCCTCTGTCACCCCTCAATTACTGGTTACCCACTATTTTCTATTTTGGGGTCACTAGCAGTCCTTTTTTTTTTTTGTGTGTGTGTGTGTGTGTGTATTGCTGGGGATTGAACCCAGGGCCTTGTGCATGTGATGTGAGGCAATCATTCTATCAACTGAGCCATATCCCCAGCCCTCAGGCCTGGTCATCTGGTCATCAGCATTAGGTTCAAGGTTCCATTTAAGGGCCAATATCTTCTAATTGTTTTATGACATTTACAATCCCTATGTTGTTATTTGGATATGGTTTAAGGTTCTGTAGAGATTCCATAAATAACATGAGCACTGAGACTTTAAACCTCTCAGAACTCTCAAAAGCATTCTTCGGCATCAGTTTCAATTACTCACCTACTTAAAGAAATAAGGGGATGCTAATATTGGAACAATTTGCTTCATTGTAGTGACATTCTGACTGTGGCAAAAACCCACCCAGTTCTTTTCTGTAATAAGCTATTAGTGCTTTAATCAGAGTGTATTTGCCTTTCAAAGTGAAATAACAGAAACCAGAAATCCTAATTCCATTCATTTCAGCAAGTCTTTGTGAAATTTCCACCTTGAGCTTCAGCTTTTTATAACACATTTGTTGCTGTGATTCAAAGATTACTTTGCAAAAACCAATCCCTGCCAACATCAACCACCACAGGCCATGGGGAGCTGATGCTGGTGTGTACTGTTATTTTTTCAGGGGAGTTAATCTCACTTGAGTGAACCCTCTCTGTCTCTACAAGATTTTTCTGAGGCACCTGGAAATAGAGTGGGATGAAATAGCAGGGAAACTACATTTCCTCATAAAGGTTTTCAGTGGAATTTGCCCGGAGCCACTTGTGACCTCAGGAGTGCTGACAACATTCCTGGCAATGATTAATGGTAAGGGTAGTGTGGGTGCACACACCCCACGTGGCCATGCTCAGCTATGAGGAAGTTGATCTGCAGGTTCTGCCAAACAGGTGCATTGACCTGGGCATCAAGAACAAACATTCCCAAGGGCAAAGTCTATACAGAAACACTTTGAACTGGGGTGGAATAAGAGCCATGGTAAGTCTGTGTGGGGAAGGTGCATGGGGACTTTGGCTCCCAGGTAAAAGGACTATGAGGTCATAACCTGACTCACAATCTCAGGTGTAGCTTCCATGTGGAGACTGGTTTCTTTCCAATATTCTTATCTGTAAAATGTTGCTGATAACATAGATCTAATACATTTATTTTGAGAATAAATAACTAAATGATGACAGAGTGAGATCCTTCAGCTACCTCTCCCCATAGACCACTAAGATGAACAGTTTTCATGCACCCAACTATTAGTACAAGAGCTTAGAAAATTAGGCAAGAGACCATAATGCCTGCTTTTAGTAGAGCACAATGAAAAAATGCATTGCAAGTGGTGGCAATGAGCCCCCTGCCCCAGCTCCATAACCCCAGGGCACAGAGGCTTCTCATCTGGGGGAGAACAATGGAATTCTGTCCACACGTTAGACTCAATACTCAGTACCAGGCCCATGCAGTGAAACCCAGTAAAAGGTAAGGACCAAAGAACCCCTAGCACCAGGCCAATCATTCAGAACCAGTTACAAACAACAACAACAACATCAACAACAAAACTGCATATTAACACAGGTTTCCATAAAGCAAGAATGCATAAGAGTCATAGACATTTAGGCACCCCATAACACAGACCACCAAAATATATAAAACAAAGAAGACCAAAACGATGGAAGGAACAAAAGGTTCTACAATAATAGCTGCAGACTTCAGCATCTCATCTCAATAATGGACAGGATAGCTTCACAGCAGAAAAGTTGAGAAGCAGTGGACTTGGGCAGCACAGGAAATGAATGAGTTATGACACAATTTTCATTCTTTTCAAGTGTGCTTGGGATAATTCCTGGGACAGAGTGTATGTTAGACCACAAATTGGGTGTCCATAGATTTTAAAAGATATTAAATACACAAAGTATCTTCTACTAATACAACCTTTTAAAGTTAGAAATCGATGATAAGTTGGGAGCAATGGTGGGTGTAGTCCCAGCATCACATGAGGCTCTGGCAAGAGGATCACGAGTTCAAAGCCAGCCTCAGCAGCTTAGTCTGACCCTAAGCAACTTAGTGAGACCCTGTCTCAAAGTAAAACATAAAAAGGGCTGAGGATGTGGCTCAGTGGTTAAGCACCCTTGGGTTCTATTCCTGGTAAGAGGAAAATCCACAAAATTTTCAAAATTAACAGGTCTTTCTATAGAGGGGTGGTAAAGTTTCCAACTATAATTGTGGGGGTATCGACTTTTCCTTGCACTCTGTCAGCTTTTTCTGTGTCTTAGAGAGCCGAGCCTCTGGTCACTATGCATGGCTCTTCTGGCCCCTTCCATCTTGCCTCGCTTTGAGGTCTGCTACGTCTGAAACCAAAGTAGGTGTTGATGCTTCTGATTGGTGTCAGCATCATGAGTCTTTCTCCACCCTTTGATTTGAGCTGCATGAGATTTACATTGTAAATGGACTTCTTCCCAACATACACTTAGATCTTGCTTTCTGATCCATTCTGATAATTTTTTTTTGTGGATTTTTTCTTTCTTTCTTTCTCTTTTTTTTTTTGTGTGTGTATGTTTATTTTGTTGTTTTAGAGTTTTCTGTTGTCTGTATGTATTTCTTGCCACCATTTGGATAGCCTCTTTCTGGGCTGTATTTTTTTTCTTTTCTTTTATTAGCCATGCATTATAGTTACACTTAACATTAGGATTTATTTTGACATAAATATTCAAGCATGAAATATAATTTGCCCCAACTCAGTCCCGAGTACTTCCTTTTCCCTCCTCTCCTCCCTTTCCAATTCCCTTCCTCTACTCCCTTGGTCTTCCTTTTACTTACTTCTGTGTTTTATATGAAGGTGAATGCACTGTGATGTATATTTTTTTAGGACAGTTTGTTGGATTTCATGGCCCTGTTCCTCCCTTTTCCCATCGGCCCCTCCACCTCAGTCCCCTTCCTCTACTTACTGATCTCTTCTATTTTCATGGGTCACCCCTTTCAACCCCTTACTTTTCTCTGGCTTCCATGAATGAGGGACAACATCTGACCCTTGACATTCCAAGTCTCCCTTATTTTACGTAGGTTGATGTCTCCAGTTCCATGTACCAGCAAATACCATGGTTTCATTCTTCTTCAGGGCTGAGTAGAACTCCAGTGTGTATATAAATGACATTTCTTTATCTATTCATCTGTTGATGGTCATCTGGGCATTTTTGTCTCTTAATTGATGTAATCAGAACACATTGATGTTTGAGGTGACTGTGGGCATAGTTGGCAATGTCTACAGTAGTTAGCAGTGTCTCTATTTCTTGCTCTTTGCTTCTATTTTTGACTTTACTGTTTTTCTTGTTTTTGTGATTGGAATTTAGTATCTTACAATTTTGTTTTTTCTTGCCTTTGGCATGGGGGACCCAAAGCCCACAAAGTGTGTCCAGAAGTTTCCCAACTAAGTCTAGCCTCCAGATCCCACCTCTGACCTGTTGATTTCTGCCTCTGACTCTGTGTGCCCTGTGTTGTCCCAAAAAAGACTTCCGCGCTGGGTGAGCCTGCAGCCCTCTCCCTCCCACAGGGTCACTGCTGCAGAGGAGTCTGCCCAGGATGAACCACATCTTGAGCCTTATGCATCTGCCATTCAGAGGACATTTAAAGGAGATTTTGGACTTGAAGTTGGTGCTGGGACAAGTTGACCTTGGGAGACCATTGGAAAGAGATGAGGTATTTTGCATATGAGAAGGATGTCCGTTTTGGGGCCCAGGGGTGGAATACAGTGGTTTGGACAGTTTCATCCCCATGAACACACATGTTAGAATTTAATACACACTGTCCGTTTCAAGGGTGGGGCTTTGGTGAGTGACTGGCAATGGGATAAACAGGACCTTGGGCCCCCTCCTTCTAAACGACCTTTGCCCCCTCTTTAGATATGAGCACACAGTGTTCTTACAGTCTGGAAGACACAGGCACAAGGCACCACCAGAGAGCAGAGACCAGGCCCTTATCAGATACCCAACCTGTGGGCTCCTTGGACTTCCTGCCTCCTGAACTGCGAGAAATACACTTATATGTCTAGATAAATCATCCAGTCTGAGCCATGTTACTAGGGTGGTGTGAGTGGGTGAAGACAGAGGCCTATCCAGCGGGTTCTTTAGCCATGTCCCTGTCATACCCTGCCAGCTTGATTTTTGGAGGAAGAAAGCGGGTAGGATCATGTTAAGCTTGACCTCTCCCTCCCAGAAGCTTCCTCTCCTCCAAAGACTCCTGTTTCCTCTAGTGGAGAAATACATTTAGAAATCCAGACCTGGTGACCGAGAGCAAGCATTGCATCCAGATGTTTGTGCTTCCAGACCTTCGGATCAGACGATAGGCCCGTACACTATAATACACACACACACACACACACCACACACACACACACACACACACACACACACACACACACACACACGAGCGCGTGTGTTTATACTTAGGCCCACTGGTCTGTAGTTTATATTTGAGTTTTGGTTCTTTCTGGGCGAGCAATATGTGATCCATGCCCTCTCC